ATGTTGATCCCGTACCTTATCTACCTTCTCAATCTCTTCTTACTGTGAGGAAGTGAGTCCAACTTGAGAGTCCTCTCCTTGGTGAGGTGTCGTGAGCGCGCTACCTTGAGAGACAACAATCTTCCCGGAAGCATCTGGAAGGAAAAAGAGCGGTGCCTCTGAAGGGCCCTGGTCGAAGCACTGGGTCACGGTCACCATGCCAACCCAATGGGAGTAGGTCACGCATGCGATGGCTGCTGTCCATTAAGGCACTTTGCTACGCCAGATAGAAGTCTTGCCAAGTGTGCCAGCGTTGTATGAGACGCTTACCAGACCGTCTATAAACATTTCTAGTTAGGTACTCGGAATGATTCTGGCTGTGATCATCGTCCTGACTGCGACGTTAAAGAATTCCTGAAGAGATGGGGGCACTCTTAATAATCTCCCTGATCAGCCAGATCATCCGGGTGTAAGGCTCGTTTCCGGACGAGGGTAAATAAGAGTGGGCTGGCTGGCTTACTTGGCTCTGACTTGGGCACAGGGGTGGGCCGATACACACACGAAGACAATGCTCGCTCAATGATGCTGTTCGGTATGTTGGATGGAGGGGAGGGTAGGTTCTAATTGGTGCTCATTTGTATACACAACCATACCCATCAATCATACATCTGCTACATGGTCATTTTGTATTCTTGATTAGTTGGTGGACAGACTGCTAACACCTCACAGACAGATTAGATTAGGACTGTAGTATGCTACCATATCCAGTTCTCTCTAATGTTGGCTGTAAGTGAACTAATCAGAGTACATCTAGACTATGTAGACAATATGTGTGAATGTTGTAGACATGCCACTTGATCGGTATAGTAAGGGACTTGCTGGACACAACTATATTTAGAAAATTAGGTGTCGGTCAGACACATGCTGCGGTAGGATTCCACTAGGGGATTCTAGTGCAGATACTGTCTGTCTAACTGATGAGTGGATCAGATCCTATGGATGACAGAGCTGACAATAGGAGACTAACATGTGTGGAAGCACTAAGGATACCACACGTGTTTCAAGCCCTACAACCGGGAGAAGAAAGACGGCTTACAGCCGAACGTAGAGCCCGTGCACTAGCAGCCGCTAGGGCGACAGCAAACGCTGCAGCAAGGGAACAGGCTGCCACGGCAGCTAGGGCAACAGCCATGACTAGATCAGCAGCAACCTCTGCGGCTTTGTCTGGGACTGGGACTCAGTTGGGAATGCCAACGAGTTCCACGGGCTCTTCCAGTTCAATGGGTTCACGACAGTCTACTAGTCAGATGGCGGGCTCGCAGTTCAGCCCGCTGACCTCACGTGAGAGGGAACTCAGGGAGCTCCAACAGGTCGAAAGGATCCGTGAACAGTTAGAAAGGGATCTGAAGAAAGCTACCGACAGAGAAAAGGAAATCAAAAAGAGAACAGCCAGGCTTGATACAATAGAGGCTGACAAAGCTGACTTAGAGGGCTTAGATGACTCTGGAATGAATGAGCCCATGGAAGTGTTGAGGAACAACATGCTGTCGCTGCATGCGCACGTGGACAGCAGGTTGGACTCCATGCAGAACACTTTGGACCAGATCCTGGACGCATTGACAAGGCCAGGATTTAGGCCACCAGCACAATCGCCGTTGCCGTTATCGGCGATGTCAGGCCCCTTTCCCGTACAAGCTGGCACACAGCCAAGTGGTACGTCTGCAGCAGTCGCACAGACTGTTGCATCTTCTTCTTCGGGTCCAGCGGTGGGAGTTACACCACCGCAACCACCTGTTCAGCAATCTGGACAGCCGCAGGGTCAATGGTATCCTAAGACCCCAATGAAACCGCCCCTTGCCTTCTCAGGTGAGGGAAAGGGCGAAGAACTCAACACATGGTTGAGAACGGTCCCGGTTTGGGTGAAGGCAAAGAGGACCTTGCTGGAGGATGAAGTGGTAACTGCGGCGTCTTACCTCGAGGGTAAGGCAGCCAAATGGTTAGATGGTGTAGTTATCAAGGTCGGGTATGGGAGACGCATGGCGGACTGGGCTAAGTCTCTAACGTTAGACCAGTTCATGGAAATGGTAGAAGCTCGATGGCATAACCCACAGGAGGCACAAAAGGCCACTGATGCCATAAACAAACTGGACCAACGAAAGTTCAAATTTGTTAGAGAGCTTACGACTACCGTTGAGAGCCTGATTCTCGTCCCAGGCATTAACTACAGTGACCAGTTCCTATTGACAACATTTGTCAGATGTCTCCCAGAGAACATCAGGAACTTACTGGCCAGTGAAGCACGCGTCGAGTATCACTCGTTTGAAACATTGTCTAGGAAAGCCTTAGATTTGGAGGCCACGCTAGGCAATGCTCAACCTACCTCTCAGAATGACTCAAAGAAGAAGAAGAGTCCCCAGGAGTGGAAGAAGAAGGGGGCGAAGTTGATGATGGTTGAGTCCGATGGGACTCAAACTGAGATCGACGAAGTCTCTGACTTGGTGGACTATTCAAAGTATGACAGCGAGGAGGTAGCTGAGGGTAGCACCCTCGCCGCAGTAGTAAAGGCTAAGGCCGGTGGCCGAGGGAAGGGCCAACCTAGGGCTCAAGGGAAGGCCGCCTCCAATCAGACCAAGCAGGCTGAATGGGTTAAGGCAGGTCTTGATCAAGACGTGTGGCGTGACCGCCGAACGCGTGGAGCTTGTATCAACTGCGGGGGATACGGACACTCGCAGTACAAGTGCCAGAACGCTAAGGTTACGCAAAAGGTTGCTCCAAAGATGGGGACAACTTATTCCCAGGCTTCTAGCTCGGGAAACACGTGAGGACAGTGGAAGTATTAGTTGCTTCTACTCAAGATGAAGTAGGATTGATACCCTCCCCACTTCATGACAAGGCCAAGGCTAATGACCCCTTAGTCACCCCGCAGACACACCTAGACCAAACTATGCTCTGTACGTTAGATGTGTCTGAAGCCTTAGAAGACTTAGAGAGTGAGTGGTCAAACAAGGACCCTCGTGAGTCTTGGGTGGCACTAAGGAAAGGTCCTAGAGGGGAACATTTTGTGGTGGACGTCGATGTAGGAGGCCGCAAATGTGGTGCCTTCATAGACATAGGCTCCACGCGGAATTACATAAGTCGCGACTGTTTGGAAAGGCAGCACCTACAAGACCGGGTACGGCACCTTAGTAGACCAGTAGCATCTACTTTGGCCAACAAGGAGTGCATGATTGTAACAGACTACATCAAGGACGTAGTCTGTACCTTCTCCTATGGAGGAGGTGAGCTTAACCATAAGATCTCGTTCTTGGTTAGCGACGACTTACCATTTGACATGTTATTAGGCATGTACTACCTCGAAGTTGCTAAGCCCCAGTTCGACTGGGATAAGAAGGTGCTCAAGCATAAGTTGCCCGATGGCCGAACTGTCAGATTGACTAAGTTCAAGGCCAGTAGTATTATAGATACCTATGGCTGCTTGTGCGCATCAACGTTCTACAATTACTACAAGCAAAACCAAGAGGAGGGTATGTACCTTGTGTATGTCTGTGAGAAAGGGGAGGCCGTTAAAACACCCCCAAAGATAGAACGTGTCGTTGCTAAGTTCCCTGATCTGTTCGAGGAGCCCACAAGAGTTGTTGAAAGGGAAGCCGTCCACGCTATAGAAATCATTCCAGGGAGTAAGACCCCAAAGGGAAGGATCTATAGGATGGCCCCCGCCGAGTTAGATGAACTTCGGCGACAGCTTAAGGAGCTGACAGAGAAGGGTTGGATTCGGCCTAGTACTTCCCCTTACGGATCACCCGTGCTATTCGTACCAAAGAAGGGGGGTACTTTGAGGATGTGCGRAGGGAATTAGGCCGGAAGATGCGAAGGTGGCTAGTATTCGAGACTGGCCACGACCTCAGACAGTCACTGAGGTCAGATCATTCTTAGGAATGTGCGGCTACTATAGGAACTCCGTAAAGAACTATTCTACAGTCGCCTCTCCTTTGACTGATCTAACTCGACTTGACACACCGTGGGACTGGAGTGATGAGTGCGAGGGTGCTTTCAAGAGATTGAAGCATGCACTCATGAATCATGAAGTTCTCATGGTTCCCGATCCTCAGAAGCCATTCATAGTGACCACTGACGCAAGCCAATACGACATTGGCGCAGTGTTGGCTCAACAGGATGGGAAAAAGTTGAGACCGATTGAGTACATGAGCAAGAAGATGCCATCAAAGAAGTTGGCAAAGTCCACCTATGAAAGGGAACTCTATGCTCTATACAAAACACTTGTCCATTGGAGACACTTCCTATTGGGAAGATTCTTCTACTTGAGGACTGATCATCAGACCCTCAAATGGATCAAGACTCAACCGGCTCTTTCTGATGCACTCAAGCGATGGATTGAGGTCATAGATCAATATGACTTCAAGCTTGAGTATCTGAAGGGGGAGTACAACAAGGTTGCAGATGCGCTATCCCGTAGAGCGGATTACCTAGGTGCGCTAGTTTCTGACTTTGGCATATCTGACGAAATAACTCAATCGTTGGTGGGAGCCTATCAGGAAGACCCTGTCACGATGGACATCATTCGCAAACTTCAAGCAAAAGACAAGGCCACAGAAAGTGAGTTCGTGATGGTGGACGGGTTTCTCTATCTTGATAAGGCCGGAATAAAGAGACTAGTAGTTCCATCTAGTGAACCTTTGCGTAGTTTGTTTTTAGGAGAATGCCATGACGCAACGGGACACTTTGGCTACAAGAAAACGAGTGTTAATCTAGTACATCGATTTTGGTGGCCTGGGATGTTCGATGACGCAAAGAAGTACGTAGAAACCTGTCAGGTTTGTCAGCGGGACAAGCCGCGAACTCAAGCACCGCTTGGGTTGCTTAAGCCCTTACCTATTCCCGTTGGTCCAGGACAGAGTGTTTCCATGGATTTCATGGACACCCTGGTAACTAGCAAGAGTGGTAAGAGGCACATCTTCGTCATCATAGACCGATTCACCAAGTACGCTAGACTAGTTGCCATGCCATGTCATCAAGTTGTTTAAGGACAACTGGGTGCGGGACTTTGGTTTACCAAAGACTATCGTTAGTGATAGAGACGTCCGATTTACAAGTGAGCTATGGAAGAAGACTGCGGAACAAATGGGCAGTCAACTTCAGATGACTTCAGGGAATCATCCCGAAGCCAACGGACAAGCCGAACAGATGAATAGAGTTGTACAGCACTTGCTGAGGCATTACATCAAGCCCAGCCAAGATGATTGGGATGAGAAGTTGCCACTCATCGCCAGTCTGTACAACAATGCTGTGCACAGCAGCACCGGCGTGAGTCCTAACCAGCTACACTTGGGATGGAAGCCTAGATCCGCGTTAGACTTCCTCCTACCTGAAAACCGACTTGCCGCAACCCCAGGCACACTCGAATATAGTGTACAGTATGAGAAGTTGCTGCAAGAAGCTGTCGAGCACATGAAGAAAGCTCAGCAAGCAATGATTGCTTCTGAGAATCAACATCGTAGACAGTCCACATTTCAAGTAGGGGAACGTGTCTGGGTCAAGGCTAGCGAACTAGGACAGGAATTCAGAATCTCTCGCAAACTAATGCGTCAATACTTTGGTCCCTGGGAAGTCTTAGATATAGTGGGAAATGAGATGGATGGTCCCACTTATGTCATTCGTGTCCCTGGACACCTACGCACTCACCCAGTCTTTCATGCCTCGAAGCTTCCACCTTTCGCTGAGACTGATCAATTCCCTTCTAGGAGATCGATGCTGCCCCCAACCATGGGGATGGACAAGTCGACATCGATGACATTGTGGATCACTGGGACATGCCTGTTGCAAAGCCGTTGGGTCGAGGTAGACCTCCTAAACCCAAGAGAGAATATCGTGTCAAATTCAGGCATCACACGGATCCCAACGAAGATCGGTGGTTTACGAGGGAGGAACTGATTGAGACAGCTCCTCAGGTGGTGGCAGAATATGGAAGGAAGCTGAAAGGGAAGGCACCTGCGAAGTAAGCATCTCAGCGGACTTTCGAAGCTAAGGGGGATGGAATGTGAGGAATGAGCCCTCAAGAAGGGGCCTTGCCATGATGTACATGTTATGGGCTAAGGCCCCAGCAAGCCTCGTGCCCGCCCTAAGTGAAGGCGGACCAGCAAATCAACAAGAGCCCTCTGTGCATACATTTCACGAAGTGGGGTCCATACAGTTGCAGCACGCCAGTTGGTTGGAGTGCACCGAGTCTCGGATTTCAGGAAATGCTGAAAACCCAGGGCCTCTGAGTTAGATAGGCCCTGGGTACTTAACGTGAGGCCACCAATGCACGCTGGGTATAGAGGCCGAAAATGCCAAAGGGAAATCGGCCCACTATCTGAATCTGGCCGCAGGCCTTGACGAAAGAGGTGCAACTGCATCCCCCGGGCCCCAACTGTATCGGCCTGGATTCAGCCTCTGGGTCCCGGTCGCAGGCTGAAGGGAGGCCGCCCACACGCTGCACTGGCATATAGGCAAGCAGGGCGAGTGGGCAGGGATCTTGGCCAATGCTGGCATTGCGGGCACGCTGTGCGGATGCATGTGTGCTGCGCAGTGCAGAGCTGCGCTGCGCTAAGGTGAAGCAGGCTAGCGCTAGGCGGTAGGGCGCTGCCTTCATGCAAGGCACTGGCGGCCATAGCCGGGCCGCATGAGGGTGCAGGAGAGGTGAAGGGCGAAGGTGGTTCCTCGGAGGTGAAGGGCGCTGTGTGGGTACAAGGGAGAGTGTGGGTGAAGAGCACACGTACCTGGTGGAGGTGGAGGTCGGCATTGGTGTTGACATCATCACTCGCTGGTAGTCAAGTTCTCTGGTTGCTTTCATTGCGGTAGTTGTAGGCTAGGCTGTAGAGTAGATAGGGCGCCTGGCGCCATTCACAAGAGAGAGCTACATTTGGGTTATGCTGTTGGTGTTGCCCTGTTGGGCATGGACATTGACTCACGATTCTTCTGTATCATTCTCAATTGGATGGTTACTCGGTTCCATTGTGCTATCTGCTTTGGCTTGGACTACTTGGACTTCAGTGTGATTTTGCATTCTGGATTTCTGTGCTTCGTCCATATTCATGTTCCTTGCAAAAGTATTTCGGATTTTCCAGCAATGAAATTTCGAAATTCCAAAAAAAAACGAGAATCGGAAATTTCAAATGCTGCGCTATTTCGGAAGTTGTGAGTTTCAACCAACGAATGTGCGCTGAAGGAAGGAAATCCAAAAGAACGACAAAAAAAAATTCGATTTTCGACAAAATTCACGATTTTGGGGACTAATTAGTATGTCCTAAATTCCTAATCAATCAATCAAACAATCAGTCCGTCAATGATCAATCAATCAATCAATCAATCAATCAATCAATTAAACAATCAACCAACCAACCAACCAACCAACCAACCAATCAATCAATCAATCAATCAATCAATCAATCTCAATCAATTGGTCCCCGCACACGTGTCAGAGCAGGTTGTCCTGATTCACGTGCAGGGCTCCGATACCAACTGATACATGCCCAGTTGGGCAATATATGTAGAGCCAAGGATCCGCAATGTGATGAAAAGGACTGAATGGACAATGCAATGTCAGTGGAACATCAACAGGCAATGTACATCCTGATACATACAGAATGGCACATAGTAGCGCAGTGGAAGACTTTAAGATAAGTCCTGACCTGACCGGGACTGATGCAACACTCCATCATTCATCACACATGTGAGAGAGGAGGGGGGACCACACACATAGAAGAAAGGTCCCTCCTTGGTACACGCACATGGGGAGATACCACAGATGAGAGATGGGGGGAAGAGGAGAGACGAAGATGGAGGCGCGGGAGAAGACCAAGATCGCAATAGTGAAGTCCAAAAATAGTCCCTTGCCGATGTCCAATCAATGTCTGCCTCAAGAATGTCGGATCAGATCCTGGGCGCTCTGCCCACAGTAACCTCTGCCTGTATCCTCTGTCGGTAACCCCTCTCACTCTCGTATCTGAAGAAGACGATGAAGAAGGAGGAGGAAGGAGGAAGAAGGAGGAGGAAGGAGGAAGGAGGAAGGAGGAGGAGGAGAGAGGGAGACGAGATGGAGGGCGAAAGATGTTGCCCTCCTCGCTGCCTCACCTGCAGGTAACTGCTGCCGTACTGACCGTCGTGGTCGTCCTGTGCAGGTACCGCGCAGAGCCCCAGCTATGGCACCAGGTAAGTTCACCACTACAGGTATGGCCTCCGCCTCTCTCTACCGCATACTCCTCTCCTTCCCAGCCTTGCAGCGCAGCGCCAAAATAGCGCAGCCTCCAACCAGCAGCGTGTCTCTCAAGAAGTGAGCTACCCGAACTGTTCCCTGGCCAGCCTCAGCCCAGCTATAAGTAGCGCTGGGCCTGCTGGGCATTCCTCAGGTACTGGCCTCAAACGGCCTACTCGTTCTGGGCCCCTACTGGGTATCCAGACCGTGCTGCTGATGCAGCGTGGCGCCACAATGCGGCTGGCCTGAAAACGGCCTTGTTCCTGTGTCCCTGGCCCAAGGCGTTGTCTTGGGCCTGCAAGTGCGAAACGACGTCTGCACAGACAGAAATAGGACAGCAAGTAAGTAAATAAATAAATAAATGCCGCCTTTATTTGAAATCTGCAGCCTGGGGGCCGCCGTTTGCCTCCAGGGCGCATGTCTGATGGGCATGCGACCTTGGGCCCCCTCAGCAACCGTCGGGCCCTTCGAATGGGGCCCTTGTGCAGGTGCAGCATGTAACAGCAGCGCTGAACTGAGAGGGAAGGCGGTCATAGCCGCATAAGTTAGTAGTAGGGATAGAGCTGAGTAGCAGCAAATGTATTCAGAGTCAAGATTCTCAAGTTGAGAGAGAGGGAGAGAGAGCGCATGCATCAAGAAGACCAGGAGGGACAGATTGTGAGAGAGAGAGAGAGAGAGAGAGAGAGAGAGAGAGAGAGAGAGAGAGAGAGAGAGAGAGAGAGAGAGAGAGAGAGAGAGAGAGAGAGA